CAATATGCTACATCCCCAGTCCTTTTTCTTTTTTATTTTGAGATAGGGTCTCAATAAGTTTCTGAGGCTGGCCTTGAACTTGTGATCCTCCTGTTTAGCCTCCAGAGTTGCTAGGATTACTAGAATTACAGGTGTGAGCCATTACTCCTGACTTCAGTTAGTATTCTTTTTCCATTTTCCCCCCCTTTAACAGTACTGGGGATTGAACACAGAGGCTCCCACAAATTAAGCAAGTACTCAACCTGAGCTACAGAAGGAGTTTGTAGATCAGACAGAAAAGCCTCCAAAGTCTAACCATGAGCAGATTACTTCTTTTCTAAATTTGTTTCTTCACAAATAAAATAGAGATTACATCTGTCTCATAGAATGTTGTGAGAATTAAAATAATTATCAAGGACTTAATATCCAGCATATAACAAATTGTCAACAAATAGCCACTATTATTACTACCATCTCCATTTAAATGTAGCACAATATCTTAAGTTCAGGTTTTTCAAAGCTGAACTGATAATCTTTTGCCCCATTTTAAACTATTTCTCTTCTTGTCTCCCCCATTTCTACTAATGACACCACCCTGTTTTCATCTTTGATCACACCCTGATGCCAGTATTATGGTTTTGATCTGAAATGTTCCTCCAAAGTTCATTGAACATACTGTATAATCCTAAGATCCCTTTCAAAAAATTAAAGCTGTAAAAATGTTAACAATCTTTTGACTCATTAATTTCACTTTGGAGAATGTGATTCAAGCAAAATGACTGTAAATTGATTAAACCAGTACCTGTGTGCCCCAAAGCAGCAGGGTTCAGAGGTGGGGGCCTCAGGAGGTGATTAGATCATGAGGGCTCTGACCTAATCAATGGATTACTGATGAATTCACAGCTAAATGGGCTCTTGGGAGGAAGTGGGAACTTTAGGAGGTAGGGTATAACTGGAGGCAGCAGGTCACTTGGGGTATGCCCTTGAAGGGTGTATTTTGTCCCTGGTGTGTATGTTTCTCTCTCTGCTTCCCACACACTCCCTGCCATGATGTTCTGCCTTACCACATGTCCAAAACCACAAAGCCAAGTGATCATGGACTAAAACTTCAGATCTGTAAGCCTAAATAAATCTTTCTTCTTTTTAAATTATTTTTCAGGTATTTTTGCCTCACCAACAGAAAGCCAAGTAACAGTCATAAACTGCCAAACTTATTACACTTACCTTAGCAATTTCACTTAGGCTCTTTGACATCACCCTAGTTTAGACTTCTATTCCAATCTGAACTACTGCAATATTCTTCTAAAGGATCTCCTTATTTTTGGACTCTCCAAATCCATTCTACACACCACTGATAATTCAATCTTCCTAATACTTGGATGACATAGAAAAATATTCAAGATAAATCATTAAGCCTAAAACAGATTAGAAAACGGTACATACTGTATAATTCTAATTTTATAAATAAAACATGTAAATATGTAAAAAACATATGCCCTCCTGTTATGTTTAAATATGTTTTTACCCTCCAAAACTCATGCTGAACTTTGCCATTGTAGCAGTATTGGGAGGTGAGAGTTTTAAGAAGTGATTGGGTAGTCAAATGAGACTAATGCCTTTCTTGCAAGAACAAGTTAATCTTTTTCATCTTTTATAATAACCTGACAGCAGGTTATTGTGGGAGACCAACCTTACACGTGACTGAGTCACACTCCCCAGCTGGGTGCTGAGGCACTCAGTTGCAGAAATGTGGCAGAGCTTTCCCCATCCTTCTTGGGTCCGAGGGTTGTGTCTTGTGCATGGGTGTGTCTTGCTACAGCCCCATGGGTGAAGCTACGCTCACCTGTTCCTTTGTAATATAACCCCTTGCCCAGTTTAGGATAGAATCTTCCATGGAGGTGCCTTGTGTGTGTCCCCTTCTCTTACTGGGCCCTTGGGTGTGGCCTACCCAGGTGTCAGTCAACCTGCTGACAGTGGACATCATGAAGATAGACTCAGCCCCCTGAAACCTGACCCCTTGCCTCATTTGAATAGCTTCTCCTCAAGAAAAGGGGTCAGCGCATGCTCTTGCTCTCTTTCTGTGGACCCTTAAGGTCAGAGGAGCAGTCACAGTGATCCCAAAGAAAAGGGTATTTGTGTCTCTTGTGTGGTTATTTCGTGCAGCCCAGTTAGCCCAATTCTACTGGAGTGACCCCTGAGCCTTTTACTCACGAGAACAGAAACCCGGCAGGTTATTATAAAATCAGGCTGCCCTCATGTTTTCTCTTTTCATGCTTCCCTTTCCTGTCACCATCCACCCTGCTATGACACCCTTGCCAAATGCCTCTACTATTGGTTTGGATAAATCCAAACTTAAGCCAAAATAAATATCTTTCTTTTATAAATTACTCATTATCAAGTATTCTGTTATAGCAACAGAAAACACAGTGAGACCAAAATGGCACAGAGACAGGGGGTGCTGTAATAATAATACCTAAAAATGTTGAAGTGGCTTTGAAACTAGGGAATAGCTGGTGGTACTGGGGATTGAACCAGTGCCTGTGTGCATTAGGCAAGCACTCTACCAAGTGGGCTATATCCCCAGACCCCAAAGCTAGAAGTTTTAAAGTGAATGTTATATGAAATAAGCCTGGATATCAAACACCAGAGTATTAAGGGCAATTCTGGTGGGGTTAAGACGACAAGATGCATAGAGAAACCTGGAGTACTTAGAGAGTACTTAAGTAATTGTGTCCAGAATACTGGTAGAAATATAGACAGCAAAGCCCATTCTGATACAGTCCCAGAGAGAAATGAGGAATATCCTACTAGGAACTGGAATAAGGGCCAACCTTATTATAAATTAGCAAAGAACTTGGCTGCAATGTATCCATGCCCTAGGACTTGCTGGAAAGTAAAACTTACTCATGATGAACTAGGATTCCTGAATAAATAGCTAAGCAGCAAAACATTCAGACTGTTACATAGCTACTTTTTAAAATTTGTAGTTGGACACAATACCTTTATTTTATTTATTTTTATGTAGTCCTGAGGAACGAACCCAGTGCCTCACATGTGCTAGGGAAGAGCTCTACCACTCAGCCATAACCCCAGCCCCTACATAGCTACTTTTAACTGCATGCAGAGGTGTGAGAGGAAAGCAATAACCTACAGGCAGAATTATAATTAAAGGGGAAGCACAGTGTAAAAATTTAGAAAACTCAGCCTGGCTATGCACAGAGTGAAAAAAAAAAAACACATGCAGGCGCTGGGGTTGTGGCTCAGCAGTAGAGCGCTTGCCTAACATGTGCGAGGTCCTGGGTTCAATCCTCAGCACCACATAAAAATAAGTAAATAAAAATAAAGGTATTGTGTCCAACTTAAAAAAAAAAAAAAGATTAAAAAAACAAACAACAACAACAAAAAAAAAACACATGCAAAAGTGTGGCCACTCAACCAGGTATGGTGGCACACCTGTAATCCCTGCACTCAGAAGGTGGAGGCAGGAGGATGATGAGTTCAAAGCCAGCCTCAAAAATTTAGTGAGGCACTAAGCAACTCAGTGACACCCTGTCTCTAGTGGCTCAGTGGCCGAGTGCCTCTGAGTTCAATCCTAGGTACCCCCTCCCCCACAAAAGTGTGGCCATTCAATCAGTTGCTAAAGAAATTAGCACACCTAGAAGACAGCCAGATGGTGTTCTTCAGACAATGGCAATAAGGCTCTGAAGGCATTTCAGAGCTCTCCCCTGACAGGCTCAGAATGTTAGGGTCCTGAAGGAGAAAGTTTGAGATCACTGCCCTGTACTACTACCTCAGGCCTCTGCTCTCCACATCGCAGCATGTTTCAACCCTGGCTCAAGAAGCTTCAGGTGCAGTTTGTACTGCATCTCCAGAGGGCAGATGCGGTAAGCCTTGGCAGCACCCATGTTATAGTAACTCTGTATGTATGTAGAATGAAAGAGCTGTGGAAGCATGGGCTTCTTCCACCTAATTGCAAAGGGCGCAGTGGACAGTCAGGGGCGCCCCAACAGAAACCCGCTTCAAGGGCAGAGTTGCCAGAGAAAAACTTCTTGGGCAATGCTTAGTAAAGTTGTGGAAGCAGCCAGGATCCCCGAACAGTCAATGTGCAGAGTCCGCCTGGGAAAACTGCAGACACCAATGAGCATCTCCAACCCAAGAAAGCTGAACCATGGACAAGTAAGTCATGGAGGCAAAGCTTCCTGACACTTTCTACCCTTGCCCTCTACCTCCCCAGCATTTAAAGAAGTTGAAAAAATATTATGGAATCTTAAAGACTTAATGTCTGCCCTCTTGGATTTCTGATTTGCTTGAGGCCTGCTACCCCTTCCTTCTGGCCTATTTCTCCATTTTGGAATGGGAACATCTACCCTATACCTGTCTTACCATTGTATTTTGGAAGTAAACAGCTTGTTTTCATCTCATAGGTTCTCAAATGAGATTCTGAACTTTTGAGTTGGTGATGGAACAAGTTAATACCACTGGAATAGAAAAACTGCATTTTAATTTTTATTGAAGGTACTAGGGAGTGAATCCAAAACTGTTTCACCACTGAGCTATATCCCCAGCCTTTTTAAATTTTTAGTTTGAGATCTTGCTAAGTTGCTAAAGCTGGTCTCCAATGGTGATCCTCCTGCCTCAACCTCCAGAGCTGCTGGAATTATAGGTGTGTTGTAAAGAAAGTTCACACACACTATAGTTCAGGAGGCTGAGGCAGGAAGATCAGAAGTCAGAGTCTAGTCTTTGCACATTAGTGAGACACTGTCTCAATATAAAATATAAAAAGGGCTGAGGGTTTAGCTAATAGTAAAGCTGCCATAGGTTCAATCCCCCAATACATCCCCCAACCAAAAACACACACAAAAGCAGTCATGAATTTCAGGAAGCCAGGGGTAGAATGCTATGTTTTGTTTTATACAACTGGGGAATTTCCAAACACACACACAAAAGCAGTCATGATGGGGCTGGGGATGTAGCTCGAGCGGTAGCTCGCTCGCCTGGCATGCATGCAGCCTGGGTTCGATCCTCAGCACCACATACAAAGATGGTGTGTCTGCCGAAAACTAAAAAAAAATAAATAAAAAATTTAAAAAAAAGATTACAGATCAGGGCTGAGAATATACCTTAGTCAGTAGAGTCCTTATTTAAAAAAAAAAGGAAAGAAAAAAAAAAACAAAACAAAAGCAGTCATGAATTTCAGGGAGCCAAGGGTGAAATGCTATAGTTTGAATATGGCTTGTCCCCTCTGAAACTCATGTGAATGCAGAGGCACTCAACCTCTGAGCCACATCCCCAGCCCTGTTTTGTTTTATTTAGAGACAGGGTCTCACCGAATTGAATTGCTCAAACCTGTGATCCTTCTGTGACAGAGTTTTTAAAAGGTAACCAGCAGGGCATGGTAGCGCACACCTGTAATCCCAGTGACTCAGGAGGCTGAGACACATTCAAGGCCAGCCTCAACAACTTGGCAAGGTCCTAAGCAACTCACCAATACCCTATCTCAAATAAGAAGTAAAAAGGGCTGGGAATGTGGATCAGTGGTAAAGTGCCCCTAGGAAGCGTAAATTAAAAAATAAAAGGTATCTAGATCATCATGCCTTTCTTGTAGGAATGGATTATGACAGCTGGTTGTTAATATAATAAAGACTACCCTTCGTTCTATCTCCTTTCTGCAAGTGCTCACTTGCCCTTTAACCTTCTGTCATAATACACATACCAGATGCACTGCTATAGCCATGAATTTCCCAGCCTCCAAAACCTTAAACCAAAATAAATCTCTTTTCTTTATAAATTACCCAGTCTCTGGTATTGTTGTGACGATAAAAAATGGACCGAGACACACCCCTTTTAGTCCACACATATATACAAAAGCACAAAGGAAGTGGGCAAACCTCTCAAAGCATATACTCCAAAATGGTAAGATAGTTACTTCTGGATAATAGGATTATGGGTAATTTGTTTCTTAGTATGTACCTTTTCCTGTGTTTTCTACAATAAAAATGTTTTGTTTTATACAACTGGGGAAAATTGATATTACAATGTAAATCCTTCTGTGACTCCCTCATTGTTTACATTAAAAATGCCTCAAATTTGTTACCATGCAGAAATGACCTCTATGGCCTTATTTAACTTGCTTTAAAAGCATCTTCATAACATACTAAATGACCTAGCTAGACTAATCAGTCACTAATTTCGTAATCAGTCACTAATTTCGTATCAGTGTGTGCTTTCTTCAGTTCTCCTCTTCCTACTACATTCTCTATTTCATCATCACCTGTTCAAATCCATCAATCCAGCTGGGTGGTGCCACATGCCCACAATCCCAACAAGATGATCACAAGTTCAAAGCCAGCCTCAGCAACTTAGTGAGACACTGTCTCTACATAAAATACAAAAAAGGCCTGGGGATGTGGCTAAGTGGTTAGTGCCCCTGGGTTCAATCCCTGGTACCAAAAAATAAAATAAAATAAAATCCACCAATCCTTCAGAGATCAGCTGAAGTAGCTCTAATAGAACCATGGTTTAAGTGGGGGAGACATATATATGTATGTGTGTGTGTGTGTGTATACTCAAGCCTCTCAATTAAAAGTCCTAGTCTTCCAATTACTTACCTTGGGTAAGTTAACCAAAGCCTCTAAAATTCAAAAGTCTTACTTCAGATGGCATTAATAAATAAGAGAAGATAAAACAAGTGAAGTGCCTTGCATAATATGTTACTTTACTCCACCTTCTTTGTATAGGATATGTGTCTCAAATTTGCAGCACTGATAAAAAAAATATATAAACATTTTCACTCAGTGTTCTCTCCAGAACATAAAGGCTAGAGAAATATCCTCAGAACTCCATTATCACTTTTCGTCAATCTCCTTTGAAAAGCTTTTCCACCATCCCTTAAATAACAATTAAACCTTGTTCCACTTTTTCACAGAAAATGATGGTTTTCAATTATAACTGTTACAGTTTAGATATTAGCTGTCCCTCAAAAGCTCATGTGAGACAATGCCAAAAGCTTCTAAAGGTGAAATGATTGGGTTATGACAGCTTTAACCCAATTAGTGAATTAATTCCCTCATAGTGATTAACTGAGTTGTAACTGAAGGTAGGTAGAGTGTATATGGAAGAGGTGGATCCCTAGGGGAGTTGAGTACCTTTGGGGTATATATATTTTGTATCTGGCAAATGGCACTTCCTGCTTTCTTGTAATGTGTTGAGCCACTTCCCTTCACAAACTCTTTGGCCATGATGTTCAGCATCACCTTGAGCCCTAAGGAATGCAGACAGCTGTTTATAGACTGAGACCTTTGAAACCATGAGCCCCCAAATAAACTTTCCCTCTTTTAAAATTGTTCTTGTCCTTTCTTTTTAGTCACAACAGCAAAAAAGCTGACTAAAACAACCACCATATAAACTCAATCCCTCATCATAACTACAACTTTCTGTTAGTCAAAATTTATACATCCAACTGTCTACTTGAATGATGAAGCACACCTGTAATCCCAAAGACTGTGGAGGCTGAGGCAGGAGGATTAGAAGTTCGAGACCATCTCAGCAACTCAGAGGTCCTAGGCAAGTTAGCAAAACCCTGTCTCAAAAAATAAAAAGCTGGCTGGGGTTGTGGATCAGTGGTAGAGTGTTCGCCTGGTGGTGGTGAGGCACTGGGTTCAATCTTCAGCACCACATAAAAATGAAATAAAGATATTGTGTGTCCACCTACAACTAGAAAATAAATATTAAAAATAAATAAATAAATAAGCAAGCTGGAGAAGTAGCTCAGTGAACCCGTGAGTTCAATCCCCAGTACAAAACAAAACAAACAAAAATAAATAAATAAAATAAAATACAAACTAGGGCTGGGGATGTGGCTCAGTGGTCGAGTGCTGCTGAGTTCAATCCCTGGTACACCTTCCCAACATCCCACTCCCAGCCTAAAAAAAAGACCTAAAACAAATGTGACTTTCTCCCTAAACCTGCTCATTTTCCTTTGGTATCATTACCCACCAAAGACAGAAATTTAAGAAACATTCTATATTTCCTCTTTTATCCCTTTCTCTCCATATTCAAGTCTTGCAGCACCTGCATTCCAAACATGCCCAGCAGTTTCATGCTTCTGTGCTTCTGAACACAATTTATCTCTATTTAGAAAATCTTTCACTTCTTTCTTTGCTTAACTTTTCTCATCATTTAGAATTAAGCTGAAGAAATTTCTTCTCTAAAAAACAAAGCTAACATTTATTAAACACACACTGTACTTAAATCACTGTGCAAAAACTGCATGAATTGTGTTGCCAAATCCTCTAAATACACTGATAAGGAGAGTACTGTTAAATTTTTAGAAATAAAGAAGGCTGAGAAATAACTCATGGGAGTTGGTATATAAAAATTAAATAATAAAAATAGAATTTAAATCAAGGTCTATCTGTCCCCCAGTGTATAAGAATGCTCTTATATACCCACTATACCATAGCTTCTTTTTTTTCTACCCACCTACCAAAATCTCATAACCTTGATCAGTTAGGAGTATTTTCTCTAGCTGTTATAAAAAGGCAAGACTTTAGGCACAACACATAAATTCTTATTGTTTGGCTTATCTTTTCTCAAGTCTGTGAGCAACTTAAAGACAAGGTGTGTTTCACTCACCTGTTTCCCTGTAGCCACTGGTGCCTAGGAAATGGTAGGCCCTCAAAAAGTACTAGGTTCCTCCTCACACAAATCCCACAGCACTTTATACTTCTCTTGGAATACTTATCTTCCACCTTGTATTCACATTTTGCACGTCTTATTTACTCCACCAGAGTACAGTCTTTGGTAAGGGCAGTTTTAAAAATCTTTATGGAAATATGTTTGCCTTTATTAATTGTTCGACAAAAAGCTAATAAATGAACCTTTAATTAAAATAAATGTCATTTAGCTGTTTTCATTTTTTAAAATATTTTATAGTAGATGAAGACAATACCTTATTATTTTTAATTTTTATGTGGCCCTAAGGATCAAACCCAGTGCCTCACACCAGTTAGACAAGCGCTCCACCAACTAAGCCACAACCCCAGCTCTGTTTTCATTTTTATTGTGTAGATTTCTTCCCACTCCGATTAAACACTAGCCCCACTATTGGCAAATCACGAGCCACAAAGGACTTTCTGATTAATTTACCAGACATTCCTACGTTAGGAACTATGGAAAAATTCAGCAGATTAAAAAAAAAGATTTCTGGCATCTAAAGAAAGTCAATTTAGTACCTGACTCCCACATCAAAACAGTATAGAATACTAGACTGTTCGAGTATGTTAGTCACGTGGCTCTGCGGATTGCCGGCGGTTGTCAACGTGGGTCAACGTGGTTTCAGTGTCATGTAAAAGACTACACCATTAGTCCGTTGATTAACCCTATGAAATTCATTAGGAGCTGCCAAGTCCAACTATATCCTATTTAGGGTGCTGAGGAGAGGCATGAAAAACGACAATCTATCTAAACCTGGCATCCTCCCAGATCCTGTATCCCGGGGCTTTCTCCTCTCCCAGACTCATCCAGCACCCCCAGGGGGAGTGGCTCTCACCTACCCACCCGCCTACTCTCTCCCTAGAGATTCGGCTAGCTTCTCCGAGGACCCTCCCCTCTCAGGGTGGTCACACAAATGTGGGACTAGCATAAAGGCTAGCACCTGCCACAGACCCGCCTCTCGCTCATCGACTCCAGACTCGGCCAGGTACCCTCTTTTGCGCTCTCGGCTCCTCACCTGCTCGGCCGACACCGCCCCCTTCCCCGCGCCGCTCCCGCTGCTCTTGCCGGCGCGACCGCTACTCTCCGCCATCTTCGCAGCCTACTGGGTTTCCGGCTTGCGCAGCTCAGCCCACGCCTTGCGTCACGTCCGGTCTAGGAGTTACCGCCCACTCCTCCGGCGCTGCTGGCTACAGGACGTTCTTCGGGTCCGCTCTTGCGTGGTTTTGGCTCTACGTTCATGTAGGACTTACTCCCAGTGCCGACCGCTGCAGTGAATTCCACCTGCGGTGCTTTAACTTGTGCAACCGAGATTTCTGCCCCGAGGAGAGGCTGGGAAGGACGCGCTAAGTGGAGGGTGGGGGTGCGAGTCGGGGGATCTGATCCTCTGCCCCTTGCCTACCTCCGGGTGGGCAGCGGGGCGCGGGGGTTGGGGGAGGACTAAGGAGGGTGAACTTCCCTTCAGAGGTTCCGGGTGAATGTGCTTTGAGATAGTAAAGCTGTGCATAGTCGAGAACAGAGGTTTGGGATACAAAAGTTTCCCTTGGAGGGGGGCGGTAACCGGGGATTGAACTCAGGGTCACTCGACCTTAGAGCCACATCCCCATCCCTATTTTGTATTTTATTTAGAGACAGGGTCTTACCGAGTTCCTTAGCGCCATGCTTTTTTTTTTTTTTTTTTTTTGGCTGAGGCTGGCTTTGAACTCGCGATCCTCCTGCCTCAGCCTCCCCAGCCTCTGGGGATTACAGGCTTGCGCCCGGCTCTGAGATGACTTTTGATCTGCGGAAACGTTTGGCAGAGGAAAAGGGCTTCAGTTTAACGTGAGGTCACTGGAAGTTGAGTTATTCAAGCGCCATCAAAGAACCCTACTCGATCTTCCCACTTTATGAACTCTTTCCATAGCCCGTAATTACTTACAGTAAAAAGTGTTTCTGAAGACATGGGTGATTTTTTTACTGGCAGGGCCCTGATTCACCTTAACAGTATGAAGGGTAGACGCCAGAGAATCCTAGAAATGTATTGCGTGAATAAGGGTTGGTGTCCTGATTTTTCACCTTCCTCTCTCAGGCTGGGCTTCATCACCATACGTCATCACCAGCTCCTGTCCCTTCTGCGTCCCGGACTTTGGATATCTCGACTCTCAGGACTTTGTGCCCAGCCCAGGTAACATGTTTTATTATATCCTTACTGCCCGGCACAAAGTAGATGCTCACATTCAGTTTGTTAACTGAATGGTGGGGAGCAGAGGTATCAAGACATCCAAAGCACATTAAACTGGGGAGCTCCCTTATCCCTGGGTTAGTATGCCCTATAAGAGCAGAATCAAAACGAAGTCAGGCCTGTTAGGGTGATGCACATCTGTAACAGCAGTGGCTTGGGAGGCTGAGGATGTGGCTGAGTGGTTAAGTGACCCTTGGTTCAATCCTTGGTACCAAAAAAAGAAAAAAGGCCTTCCTGCCTCCCCACATAAGTCATTAAACTTGAGTTTCCCCCCTGCTAGGAAATCTAATCCTGTCTGTGCCATTCACAGACCCAGGCCCATGGCCAACTCCTCTTCTTCCTGGGAATTGCCCCTGGTGGCAGTGTGCCAGGTAACATCTACACCAGACAAGCAACAGAACTTCAAAACATGTGCTGAGCTGGTTCGAGAAGCTGCCAGACTGGGTGCTTGTTTGGCTTTCCTGCCTGAGGCATTTGATTACATTGCTCGAGACCCTGCAGAGTCCCTACGCCTGTCTGAGCCTTTGAGTGGGAACCTTCTGGGAGAATACACCCAGCTTGCCAGGTATCGGGAAAGGGGGAGGGAGAGGTAGAATCTTCCATAGACAGTGTTCTTGGATTGCCAGATGTGAGAGTAGGGCCTTGAGAAGAGTTGTCAAGTCTCCCCTCCCCCCAGGGAATGTGGAATCTGGCTGTCCTTGGGTGGTTTCCATGAGCGTGGCCAAGACTGGGAGCAGACTCAGAAAATCTACAATTGTCATGTGCTTCTGAACAGCAAGGGTGAGATCTCATAAACCTTTAGCCTGCCTCTTCCCAGGCTCTTCTATCTAAACCCAGATTCTTCAGATTTGTTTGGTACTATCTCCTCCTTGAGAGGAGCAGCTAACTTGGGCTTCTAGAACACCAGCACTGAGAATTTCTTCTCCCTCTTACTCTAGGATCAATAGTGGCCACCTATAGGAAGACACATCTGTGTGATATAGAGATTCCAGGGCAGGAGCCTATGCGGGAAAGCAATTCTACCCTGCCTGGGCCCAGTCTTGAGTCACCTGTCAGCACACCAGCAGGCAAGGTAAGAGTCATGAGATGGAAGTGGAAGGAGAAAAAAGGGAATAGGAATATATTGAAGTAGTAATGGCATATAGAAACCCCTGAGGAGTGGGGTAATGGAGGTACTACACACTATGACAAAAAGGACAAGGAGGCTAAGTATTCTCTTTTTCATTTCAGATTGGTCTAGCTGTCTGCTATGACATGCGGTTCCCAGAACTCTCTCTGGCATTGGCTCAAGCTGGAGCAGAAATACTCACCTACCCTTCAGCTTTTGGATCTGTTACAGGCCCTGCCCACTGGGAGGTAAGAGGACACCTCTTCAAAACTTTAGGGTTTTTTTTTTTTTTGTTTTTAGTACCAGGGATTGAACCCACAGGTGCTTAACCACTCTGCCACATCCCCAGTCCTTTTTATTTTTTAAGACAGTATCTTACTAAGTTGCTGAGACTGGCTTCAAACCTGCAATGATCTGCCTCAGTCTCCTGAGTTGCTGGGGTTATAGGCATGCACTATTGTCTTGCTAAGTTGACTAGAGCCTTACTAATTTGCTGAGTTTTGAACTTGGGATACTCCTGCTTCAGCCTCCCAAATCCCTGGGATTACAGGTTTGCATCACCACACCTGGCAAGGGCCTTCTTTTAACCTCATTCTCCTTTAGCCTAACTAGTTGAAAGATTTTTCTTCCCATTCCCACTTAGTGGGAAAATTCATTTTTTAGATAGTTCCCTTTCACATTATCATACAGTTAATTTGGTATTGGTAAATCATTGCTAATTAATTATCAGAATGGTTACAATGTGCACAGCCAGTAACACTTGCCTGTAATCCTAACTACTTGGGAGGCTAAGGCAGGAGGATTGCGAGTCTGAGGCCAGTCTCTGCAACTTACAAAACAGGATCCCATCTCAAAATTTTAAAAGGCTGGAGATGTACTCAGTGGTAAAGAATCTGGGGTTCAGTCCCCAGTACCAAAATACAATGGTTTTAATGAGTAGATCAGCCTGTAACATTCATTTCCTATCACTTCCCTAGTAGTTGCTACATGTACTTAACACATATCTCATCCTCAGGTATTGCTTCGGGCCCGTGCCATTGAAACTCAGTGCTATGTTGTAGCAGCTGCACAGTGTGGACGCCATCATGAGAAAAGAGCAAGTTATGGCCACAGCATGGTGGTAGACCCCTGGGGAACAGTGGTGGCCCGTTGCTCTGAAGGGCCAGGACTCTGCCTTGCCCGAATTGACCTCAACTTTCTGCAAAAGTTGCGCCAGCATCTGCCTGTGTTCCAGCATCGTAGGCCTGACCTCTATGGCAATTTGGGTCACCCACAGTCTTAAGTTTTGACTTTCATGAATTCAGACAGGCAGATACACACACACACATACACACACACACACACACCACCACATTGTGAGGTGATGCTACTGTGATTTGTAAGGAGGATCCAAGCACGGCTTCCTTCACTTGGAGAACCTTGATTCTCAATAGAACACAGAATCAAATTCTTGGTAAAGAAGAAACTTTCACCTGAGCTGAGATTTCATTTTCAGAAAAATGGGATTTTATATAGTCACTGTTTATTTCATGAAAACTGAAATTATGCTGAGGACTGAGCAGCACTGGCATTGAAAAAATAATAATAATCATAAAGTCTGGGTCTGGACATCTCCTTTAGGAGCTGGAAGGAGAGGTGGTATTGTACCTACTGGATTAGGCTTGAGTTCTGGACCTCCTGGCTCATTCAGCTTGCCTCCCTACCTAAAAAAGTGCAACACTCAGTGCATATCCCAGCCCCATTCTCCCAAGCATGGGAGTGGGAGTAAGGGTAGAGGAGGGGGGGGAGGAAAAAGGAGGAATTCACTTTATCCTAAGGTGCCCTTTGCTCAAGCCAGAAAAAAACCAAAGGGGAAAAGGGCTGCAGGGTATGTTATTTATTTTCACTTTAACATGGAAGGAAAGTATCACACTCCCCCTTCCCCTTTCCAGGGGGAGTGTATATTAATCAGCAGCCTCTTCTCTATCCACCTTGTATATGAGTGTGTTCACACACATCACAATTGAGAGGGGTGATCAGGCAGACCCAGTCCTCTTATCTGTTACTCCCTTGAAGAGGATTTGACAAAGGGGGAAAAAGGAAGGACCACACCAGGCAGCAGTTTCAAGCCATGGAATGGAGAAAAGGAGGCAGAGAGGAGCAGCACCAGAGGCCAGGAGAGAGTGGAAAGGGCCACAGTTTCTTCTTTTTTAAAAAAAATTCTATAATTTGGAAGAGGGTGGTGATTAAGTTCCAAAATACACTTCAGAGTCCCACCTTCCACATAGCTCCCTTATTCGCAGCCCTTTGGTTTTTCAGACAAAATTTAAGAGCCCTCATAAAGCCAGAAGTATTGATAACCCCTCAGTGCACCCAAAATCAGTGTTCACTTCAGTCCCTTACAAAGACTGTTCTATAGGCTTCGCTTCTCCCTATACATTTGTCTTACGGCTCAGTGGTAAGGTGGCTGTAGAGACACACATTAGGGGGTAAGTGAAAACAGGAAACAAAGGGGAAGCCCAGGCACATGGGTGCAGGGAGGGATGGGGAACACCACTTCCATTTTCCTTTGTCTTAAAAAAAAAAAAAAAAAAAAGGCAGGGGTGTGATTGGTTGGAAGGGTAGAGAACAAACCCCAGAACAGTATGTAAGCTCCAGAGGTGGGTGGTGGGAACAGTCCCCAAAGAAGTAAGAAGGGGAAAAGGTCAGGGTAATGCTTGCAGCATCAAGTTCCTCAGGAGTTTCTGTCGTCCCAGCTCATAGTCCTCCTCGTCCACATTCACCAGCAGCTTGATGGCTTCATGGCCCACAGCTTGCTTGAGGGAGTCTGTGATGAAGACACCTTTAAGTGCCTCTAGTAATGAGCCATTGATGTAGTCGCGCCAGAATGCATCGAGGTAGGTGAGCTCAGAGAACTTGATGTCACAGATGATGGAGCCCAGGTCCCGGGATTTGAGGATGGTGTTGGCCTGGTTAAAGCGTTCAAACTGGCGCTCAAGTGGGTCCTGCTTGTTAGAGAAGACATTGCCCTGCAGAGCAGTCTCATGCTGGCAGTATTCAGCCCGAACCCGCAGTCTGATGTCTGTGGTAAAGAAAATACAGAGCAGAAGAGGTTACAAGTGAGTTGGAAGTTTACAACTTAAGTTTGAAAAGCTGAATGGGGTAAAGCAGGGAACGTCACCTGATAGCTTCTCTATTTTCCCCAAGACAATTTCTTTTCTATGCATCTCTGAAATTCTTGTGTGATTTTACAGGTTCCCTTAAATGGGATATGCCCAGGTCACCATCATCTCCCATCACTCACAAACAGCACCATGCTTATGAGATACTTTTCTAATTAGGATAAAGGTTCATTTTAATTATCTTGATTGGTTCATCCTACAATAAGGGTGTCATATCAGCATCTCTTTGATCTACTGTTAAATAAAAAGTTAAAATGTACCCTGCTGGGCTGGGGATATAGCTCAGTTGGTAAAGTGCTTGCCATACACAAGGCCCTGGGTTCAATCCTCAGCACCAAAAAAAAAAATATATATATATATAATATATATATTATAAAATCTCACAAAAATAGAGTTCTTCCACAGACTAAATCACTCAGTCTCACTTTGTGCCAACAATCAAAGTGAACCTTGCAGCTGGCATGGTGGCACACACCTGTAATCCCAGTGACTGAGGACTGCAAATTCGAATGCCATCCTGGGCAACTCAGCGAGACCCTATCTCAAAAAAATAAAAGAGCGGGGCATGTAGTGCACTGGTAGAATACCCCTGGGTTCAATCCCTAGTACCAGGGGAAGAAAATGTAAGCCTTGCATTAATAACACTATTTTCCCTCAAGTCTACTCTACCTCTGGAACCCTTAAACTTCCTCACCACATGTCTGCTTTTCCTTGGGATCAGGTGTCACTGACTTCCGGCGTTTTCGCTGACTCCCAAGTGTGGCTCTCCCTCGGGCTGGCCGCTTGCTACACATCTGAGGACCCGAAGTCGGGCAGCACACCACAGGATAGTGGGGAGGCACTGACAAGAATGTAAAAGAGAACAAAAAATAAGTTAAAGGCAGAAATTGACTCTTGGAATGCAGAAGGAATCATGTAGACTTATCAGCATCAATAATGTGACCTGAAAGGAGGATATATGAAAGCAACACAAGACCAAGGTGAAACATTAACAGCTCACCTGAATTTTCATAGGACTAGATGTGGAGGGACAGCATCCTTTCATTTAAGCTGGCAAAGCCAGGAATGTGAAGGGATCAGTGTCCTCTTGCTTGATTATGGAATCAGGAGGAGTAATATCTTCTCACCTGTTTTAGGGGGCTGGGGAGGCCTCGGTTCTGGATCACTGAGGGCTCTGGGGGTCACATATCGAATTGATGTCTCCTCCAGATACTTGTCTACAAGATCAGGGCACACTGTAGGGAAAGAAAACATTCAGGAAAAAGTACACCCTTCCTTCTCCCAATGGGCCTCAAAACTGATTCTCCTAGGAACTCCCCAGGGTCAAAGCCTCCCTCTTTGACTCTTATGCTGTTCACTCCTGGTTTTCTACAACTCTTCCCGATTCCACTGCCCTCACCGCCAATAAACCCTTACCAGCCCGTCTCTTCTTGAGGGTGACATAGGGAAGCAGGTCATGGCGAGTGATGATGCGCAGCAGCTGCAGCACCTGGCGGAAGTTACTCTCATCGCAGCGTCCCTGGCGCTCCAGTGCCAATAAGAAATCACGTCCATTTCGAATGAGTCCACGTTCATGGTCATCAATGACATCAACAAAGAGGAAGGAAAGCACGCGCACATCTCTGTGTGTCAGGTGGGTGCCCACGATGTCAAACATGCGGTGTAGACTATATAGCCCATGCTCCTGCTCACCGTGTTCTTCTGGCCACACCTGGCTTGCCCGCCTCTTTAGGCCCGCCATGATGGGGGCTCAGGAACACAGTGCTTTCCAGAATCCCTGTTCAACAGCTGCTATTCCCAGTATACTGTAAGGATAAAGCAAGAACCTGTGAGCCATTCAATGGGAGGAACTAGTGTTTTCATTCCTATATTCCCAGTGCCTAACATGATTTCTGGCGCAGTATACTGCTTAATACATGTTTATTAACTATTTTTAAAGTGTTTATTAAAAATAAACAGTAGGTGGGTATGGTGGTGCACGCCTGTGATCCCAGCTATTCAAGAGACTGAGGCAGGAAGATCACAAATTCCAGGCCATTCTGTGCAACTTGTCAAAACTCTGCCTCAAAAGAAAAAAGTCTGGTGATGAAGTTCAGGGGCAGAGCACTCCTGGGTTCAATCCCAGTCCAAAAATAAAGAATAAATAAACCCTAGAGCTCTCCATACTCAACAGATGATGCTGAGTCCAGATCTTTTTTTATATAATTTTTAAACATTTATTTTTTAGTTATAGGTGAACACAATATCTTTATTTTTAAATAGTGCTGAGGATCGAACCCAGTGCCTCACATATGCACAGGAGAGCACTCTACCTCTAAGCCACCACCCCAGCCCGAGTCCAGATCTTACTGGAGAAATAGTCTCTTACCCTGAGAGTGTCTATGCAATTTTAATACTACATATTCAGCAAAAGTTACTATTACATATTACCCTGAATGTATCTCTTGCCCCAAAACTCTGCTTTTCCCTCTCCTCAAACAGTTCACTTCTTGAACACAGGCAAAATCTATAAGTAGAGAATTAATTCTTAATTCTAATACAGAAACTGCATCAGATGAATAGGTAAACTGAAAATGTTTAGTATTAACTAGTTTAAATTATGACCATATTGTTTCATTAACAAGCTGTGGAGCTGGGTGGCAAGTCACTTATCAGAAAGTCTCAGTGCCTTCATCCTTAAAACAAGGATGAAAAAAAAAAACCTCCTCAGAGTTGTTACCAATCCAATGAGAAAATAAATGTAAAATCACTCTGTAAACTTTATGTTCCCATAATCTTCACATCATTTGAATATACCCTTCTTTTTTGCTACCAACAATTTAACGCAGGGGTGCTTTACCACTGAGCCACATCCCCAGTTTTTTGTTTTGTTTTGTTTTTTTGCTTTTTGCAGGTGCCGCAGTCCAGCTGCAGCAAAATAACCGGGGGGTGACGAGCAACTTGTGTAGATTGATACAGCAGGAGTGGGAGCCGTTTATTGTAGGACAGGAGGGGTATATATACATTCCATACAGCTTATCTTAATTAACATAAACTAGATACAGCAGTCAACCAATAAGGAATCTCCACACTTAATGGCTCGCTGGCGTTACTTCATAAACCATTCCCTCTGGCAAAATGCCAGGCGCCATCCTGACTTGTTTACAGACCCTAACATGCAGGGGGACAGGGTCTCAATAAATTGCTTAGGGACTCACTAAGTTGCTGAGACTGGCCTCAAACTTGTGATCCTCCTGCCTCAGCCTCCTGAGTTGCTGGGATTACAGGTATGTGCCACCACACCCAGCCTGGATATACCAACTTTTAACTTCTCATGGATGTCATTTACAAACCACATCCACTGACCAAACACAGCCCTATGTTCATTACATAATCTGGCATTTGATTCACAAAGTTCATCAGTCATCCTGGTTGATGTCAATGACCCAGTCATTAACCAATCTTCCAGTCTAACAACTTTCACCTGCACTCTAGTCACTTCATACTTACTGCACTGCCAGAAGGTATCACCCAATACTATTCCACCCCTCTGACCACAAGCTCCAATCACCTAATCAGTTTCAATTTTAGATTCCTACTGAGACTACTTCCAATTTTTTTTTTCTTTTGGTCCCAGGGATTGAACTTAGGGGCACTTAATCACTGAAGCACATCCCCAGTCCTTTTTATTTATTTTGAGAAGGGTCTTGCTAAGTTGCTGAGGCTGGCCTTGAATTTATGATCCTCCTGCCTCAGCCTCCCAAGTCACTGGGATTACAAGCATGCACCACCTCATCCAGCTACTTCTAAATATTTCTTAAATCTCCTCTACCTTGTCATTTCTACCACCACTGCCATATTTTAGATTCCTATGGTCTCTCGCCTGGATCACTGCCTCTTTTTTTTTGGTGGTGCTAGGGATCAAACCCAGGGCATTGTATATGTGAGGCAAGCACTCTACCAACTGAGCTATATCGCCATCACACCACACTCCAGCCTGATTACTGCCTCTTTTAAAAAGTTCTCCCTACCACTAATCTTTTTTCTTTCTTTCTTTTTTCAATGGTGGGGATCAAACACAGAGCCTTGTGCACGTTAGGCAAGTGCTCTACCACTCCGCCACACTTCTAGACCCCCAGACATCAAACTTAACCCACCTAAATTCATCTAATTGAGTTAGCTATCTAAAATGCACAACTGACTACATCATTTTCCTACTTAAGACTCATCTACAGCCTTCTCCTTACCTATAGGAAACCTCCAAATTCCTTTTACAGTATACCAAGCCACCCAAGATCAGGCTGACTTTTCTAACTTCATTTCCCACCACATTCCATTCCTCCTAGCCCACATCCTGGGGATCAAACCCAGGGCCTCCAGCATGCTAGACAAGTGAGCCACACTCCCAGCATTTTTTTTTTTTCCCAAGGCTGGCCTTGAACTTGTGATCCTCCTGCCTCAGTCTCCTGGGTAGCTGAGATTACAGGCATACACCACCACAAAAACCCCCTTTTTAAATTTTTTATTTTGAGGCAGGGTCTCACTAAATTGCTGAGGTTGGTCTCAAACTCATGAGCCTCCTGCCTCAGCCTCCCAAGTCACTGAGATTACAGGTGTGCACCACTGCATCCAGATCCACTTTTTATTCTTTATCAGTTTTATTTTCCAACATTATACATTTATGTGTTTATAGTTCACATACAGTATGTAATTCATTTCTCTACACCTTTCTTCGGGTTATTCCCTTTGCCTAAATGCCCCTCACCCTTTATTCCACATAACCACTCTTTTTCAGATGGCTAACTCCTACTCCTACTGTAAAAGTCAGCTCAGATGCTACTTTCAAAATGCAATCTCTACACCCCCAAGCTGGGTTAAGTAGTCCTCTACTGTGCTCTTTTGGAACACTATGCATATTTCTTTTATATTTATTATCTCTTTAGATCCTGAGCAATTCATGGAGAGGGACTAAGTAAAATTCACCTTTATTTCTCTAGTGCCTGGCAAAGGACAAAGTGTGGCATTTGTTGGAGCAATCTGTTGTTGAACTGAATAGAATCTAATCTCTAAGAGATCACCACAAGCAATAACATTAAGAAACAAACTCACAAAAGTCCAAGAGTGAGAGAACCCCATTAAAAATAGACATGCATAACTCAGTTACCATGCAGACAGAACTGGCAGGCGGAGCTGCCTCTAGGCCAGAGAACTACCCACATCACACCACACCCTCTTCTCACCAATAAAATAGGCTGTTCTGTCCATTGTATACACCAAGAAACTGAGGCTAAACTAGAAAAGAGAATGAGGGCCTGAGAGTATAATTCAGCAGCAGGGTACCTGCTCAGTATGAGGGGCTAGTCATGGTGGTACATATCTGTAGTCCAAGCAATTTAGGAGACTAAAGCAGGAGTATCACAAGTTCAAAATCAGCCTTGTAATTTGCCAAGACCATGTCTCAAAGTAAAAAATAAAAAGGGCTGGGGATGTAACTCAATAGTTAAGCGGCCCTGGGTTTGATCCCCAAAACTGAAAAAGAAAGAATAAAATGATAAGCTACTTCATAAGAACCAAGCCAATGAGGACTCAAAAAGTAGAAGAGCTAGTAGGAAGGACCTGGTCCCTCTCCTTCAATAAATCAAAGATGGAAGCACAGAGAGCTTTATCCCCTTAAGAAAAAGGGAGGCCCCTCCTGGAATCAACCCCAGACCATGGGTTCTGGTATGTGGAAAGATATATAACCCATACATAGTTTGGAAAGCCCAGATTTTCCACCCAAAACATGGAAAAATAACTATTCAACAACAGACTGATTTTCCTCGTTTCTTCCTCTTGTTTCACCTGCTGCTGTCACTGGGTACTAATGGAAGTGCTGTAGAAAAATAACTTCTTACTCATAGCAGGCATCAGGAGAAAACTGAGCCTCCTAAGAGCCCGTGCAACTTCTGCAAGTTCCCTATCCCACCTGTTCCTTTGGGCCAGCTGTTGATTATGAGGATCGAAGAGAAAGCAGATGGGCAGGTTTCACATTCAACCAATCAGAAAAATAGGTTGCTCCAGTGTTCCCTAATTCAAAGTATCCTTAAACCCCAGGAAATGAAGAAATAGTGTCCCCACATATTTTGCCACTAGAAAACAGAGCAAAATATGACTGTGGTCCTAACCACACATCAACAGATGCAACTCTACAATAGACCTTAATTCGCTGAGTTAAATCTACATCTGAGGGGGGTGTGGATAGCCACCTTTAAGTGCTAGATCCTAGGCTGAATCAGTCAAGGTACCAGGAATCATCAGAACTTCTAGGTCAGTGGTTCTCAACATGGGGCAAATTTGTACCCCCTGGGGGACATTTGGTAATGTCTGGAGACAATTCTAATTGTCATGTGTAGGGAACCAGCATGTAATCAGGCCAGGGATGCTGCTAAATATCCCATAATGCACAAGACAGTCCCCCACAACAAAGAATTATCTGGCTCAAAATGTCCATATCCATCTTCCAGGTGGAACATGATGAATGGTCAAAAGAATGCACATGACTTTCCACACTAGACCTAGAGAAGGAAGCTGTTAAGTCCCTCCAACCCAAACCTATCAAACAATATTCCAGAATAAAAGAAAGGCCAGTCAAGCATAGGCTCATTTAACTCTAGGGTTTAACTAACACAAAGGAGTTCCATCCCACCCCAGCCCTGGCTCCTCTTTACTGCTGTTGTCATTCAGGTGAACTGCAGGGTAATGCTCTACTCCCTACTGCCCCATCCCAGAGGTCTACTCTGATCTAGTTCAATCTGGAGTTCTATGAGAATAAAAGAAATACCAGCTGGGCACGGTGGCACACACCTGTAATCCCAAGGCAGGAAGATTCTAACTTCCATACCAGCCTTAGCAACACAGTGAGACCCTATCTCAAAATAAAAAATCAAATTTGGCTAGGGATATAACTCAGTGATAAAGTGTCCCTGGATTCAATTCCCAATACCAAAGCGAGAAAAGATGGGGGTGGGGGGTGGGAGGTTGGAATATTCTCTTCAAGACAGACACAAAGGATCCTGCTCTTCAGTCTCAGGGTCATTTTCAAGTCCTAAAACTAGACTCATAGTAAACCCTTCTGGTTAAGTTGCTGATCAGACTTATACTGCTTATTCAATGAAGCAAAACTTAGCAGAAGTGAAAGTTTCCCAAGGCCATGTCCTTGGGAGAAATGTCAGGAGGCTGGCATACAGGCTAGTAGACATCCCTCCCCACCTAATTATCATCTGGGATTTTGAGTTAACTCACTCAGCAACTCAGAAGGGGGCTATAGGAATCTATCCAGCTTCAGGATTAAAAGAATGTGACCAACTTCCTCTTAAACCAAAATATACTCAGCTTTCTGTGGCAGTAAAGCAAGGGAGCTCAGCTTAAAATATACAGATCCTAGATGAACGGTATCAGAATAGTGAGGAGAATGGTCCCCTCCAGAGAACCATAAAGAACTTCAGTGTTGGTATCTAAAACACTGCCAGATGGATCCCACTGGCTGGGATACTAATATATGAGTCCCCCCACTACAGCTTCCCAAGAATAATTCTTTATTCTGATAAATTGTTATACTTCCCAGAGTTCTAGTGTGTACGTTTTTCTTTAGGAAGGTCCAAGTCAGTCAAGGGTCAACTGAGAGTCTATATGTATCTACAGGATTCCCCTCCTGATGGGTCATATTCTGTTGGGTTTCCATGTCCAAGCAATCCAGTCTCATCCCGTCTAGGGATAATATCTGTACCTTTTGAGGTACTCCGACTTTCTCAAGAGTCCTGAGAGGAAGAACATGTAGAAGAAGTAAAACAGTAATGTCTTAAAAATGAAAATAGCAGTCTAGTTTCTTCTCAACAGAGATGATAGATGTAATTTCACAGATATCTGACTTTCAAAAGCCCTTAGGGGAAAGTCATGTAGAAGAACTAAAGAGTGAATGATATCTTGAAGCTTGGAGTGAAATCCACATGGAAAATCTTAAAGAAAGCAAAGAGTACATAGCTTTCTTGCTGGTGGGATTAGGAAAATGTAACCAAATATCTGGAAGTCAGATTACATAGTATGTTTTCAAAAGAAGATTCCAGGAACTCTGAACAGCTAGGAGAGAGAGTAAGTTTACCAAGCAAGGAAGGTGCCTCAGGAACGCTCAAAGGGCAAAACAGTAGACAAAGTACTAGACCACAGCTTTCCATATGTTAAAAAATTATTTTCCCAGAGCTGACCAAAAAGACTAGATAATAAACCAAAACTGGGGGCTTGTCCCAAGACACCTAATTTCCCCTTTCTTTTTATCTCCTAAACTCCAGTTAGCTGAAGAGATAGTGACTGGAACAGATTTTAATGTACTGTTGGGTGAGTGAAAACTCATTTTCCCTGGCATCTTCCCCACAACTGGGATCAACCCCAATACAATTCTATGGCATTTCCATTGTTTGAGAACAATAAAAAGTTCTAGACTTACCTCTGCAAGAAACTTAATTTCCGAAGTCTCTTCCTAGCACAAGTTTCAAAGCCAGCAGAAAAACAAAAACAAATAAGGGGGGGAGTCAAATTTCAAGCTTTATTTTGAAATCTTGAAGACCAATAGAGTTAGTCAATCTCAGTCTCAAAAACTCACAGAGAAGCCTAAAGCTATTTCAAACAAATTGATCCACTCCTAGATAAAGAAGAGAAGAGAACTAACCCATAACAAAATCCCCAGGGCTCCCTCTCTCCTAGTCAATTCACAAAACAAACACCAACTTCAAGAATTCCTAGTCCCAATGGCTCATGGCAAATACAAATTCAGCAACTTCTGGGAAAACCCATTATTACGCTCTGATAACCTCCTCAATACCTTATTCCACCTATTTTGTTACCATATTAATGTTGACTTTCATCTTTAGAGAATTGTGAGGAGAAAGTGGTTATAGCCCCCCCCCAAAAAAAAGGCACTTTCTTCCCATCACTTAACAGTCCAGAACTATCCTCCAAATTCTATTTTCCCCATTGCACACAAATACAAAATATCCACTGAGGCAGCATCCACTCACACATATACTTTTAAGCAGAGATCTTGTTTGTTTTGAAGTATGCCTACTGACTCCCTCCCTTCTAGCACTTAAACACCAAAAAAAAAAGGGTCTGGAAACTAAAGGGCTCCTTTAATTGGCCTTTCTAGATGCCAGCCGTCTTTTCTGTCTTCCTCCTCAGACTTTCAGAGCCTTCACCTTAGCATGCAGGGCTCCAATACAGCCATATCTATTTCCCCATTCTTGTATTGCTAATTGTTAAAAACTAGAAAAGTCCTTCACTCCTCCACACTCACTAGCAGTTTCCCCATTTTTCCTTCTTTTTGTAACTAGGAAAAACAAGGGAGCAATAAGGTAGGAACACTTTAGGAAAGTAAACCCAGTTGAACCCTCATTCAATCCCAGTTCTCAAAACCCACATGACCATTCCCTTTTGCCCTTCCCACCCCATTAAAAGCTAAGGGCCTGGCAATTGGAATTGGCTGCAACTGATGCTGCTTAACATGCACTCTTCCTATCCACAGGGGAAAGGGAAACCCCGAACCTCTATCACCCGAGCAGCTCCCCTGTCCTATCTCTCATCCCAATCCCTTTCTTCCCAAACTTTCCTCCTACTCTCTCACTTTTTTCTTTACCTCGGCACACCGACACTCTGTCCATTCCTTAAACCTTCGTTTTCTCCTTTTTTCACCCAAATTCACCCCTAGGCCCTTCCCCCTCTCACTTCCAATTTAACACTTTTAAAACCTCCCTCCACAAAGCCTCAAAAGTCCAATTCTCACCTCCCACCTCCTCTCAACAACCCTCACAAAAGTCCAGTCCTCCCTCCAACCACATGCCACAAGCCCCCTTCCCCTTAAAACCCTCAGCCTCTCCCTCCAGCTCCTATACCCCTTTCTATCAGGCCAGATCGCGGCTCCACTCCCCACCTCGGCCTCTCTAATACCCCTGGCCTGGCCCAGTCCGGGCCCTTGTTTACGCCCCGCCCCATGTTCCCACTCCTGCGCCTCGACCCCTGCCCTCTCCCACAGTTGCCATCTCCCCTGCACGCCCCCCTCGGCTGCTCCCCTCCCCCACCTGGTAGCGTCCCGTCACCTCCCTCTCTGGAGGTTCTCAAGCTGGACGTCGCCACCGCCTCCCCCTCCACTTTCCTTCCCCAAACCCTTAGCGGCCCCGCCCGGCCCCGCCCCGTCCCGCTCGACTCCCCCTCCCCACTCCGGCCGCCCCTCCGCCTCACTCTCGGCTCAGGTTCGGCGCCGCCATGTTGGATCCATCCGCGCCGCTCTCCCGGGCCTGTCTCACGGCGCCGCATCCGGGCTTCAGCCACCGCCGCCGCCGCCGCGGGCGTGGGGGAGGGGAGAGACGGGCGGGGGTGGTTGCATCCTGAACAGCGCCTCCCGGAACCTGGCCGGTTAGTGGCGGCTTCGAGACCATAGTGAGGCATGAGCCAGAGCAGCCATACTAGTTGAGGGCAGCCTGGCAGAGGCATTAAGCGGGAAGTAGATAGCTTCACGTTCGGAGGAGAGAATAGACGCTGGCAGCCATCTTACTTTGGGGCAAGCTGGCAACGCAGGTTTTTCTTGACGACGGCTTTGGGGCGGTAGTAAAGGGAGGGGAACTGTAGCATTCTTGAGTATGGAAACATTGGTGGCGCCCGAGCTGGCTGGTGTGGACTTCCAGACCCACTGAAAGACTGGGACTGGCAGCCATGACACATAAGGGCGGAATAGCACTGGGGTTGGATTGCCTCGTGAACTCGGGTGAAGGGTCAAGATCTGGATTTGACCTTTGCTCTGAGCTTCCTGGTCACCCGGACGTTCTGTAAACCCGGACTGTAGCAGAAAGCGCAGCCCAGACGCGCTCTCGGAATTCATTCTTTCATCATTTGCCTTTTGAACACCCGCTTCCTGTAAGGAAGTGTCGCCTGAGCCGAATGGTGAAGGACTGTTGGGAATTGATTGGGGCAGGCGGGCAGCGTCGGGGGGAGGTGGCGCAGGTACGTTCTGCAGCTGCCCACAGCCTGCTAGGGCTAAAGGAAGAAGCACTAAGGGCCTAGGGATATAGCTCAGTTGGTTGTGTACTTACCCTGCATGCACGAGGCCCTGGGTCCAACTCTCAGCACCACCACCAAAAAAAAAAAAAGCAGTAAGGAAAGGGAGGGACTGGATTACACAAGGCCTTATAAGTTGATTTTGCCCTAAGGGCGATGAAGAGCCTTTGAAGGGTCTTTGCGGAGGGGGTGACCAGTTACATTTGGATTTTAGAAAAATCACTGTTTGCCTGTGCGGGAATGGTGAGTCGAGTCTGCAGACCCAGCTACTTGGGAAGCTGAGGAAGGAGCCCAGGAGTTGAAAGTCATCTGAGTTTTAAAAAAGTGGTGTAGGGGGTGCTAGTGTGTAGGTGCTTAGCATACGTGAGGCTTTGGGTTCAATCCTCAGCGTCAAAATCAAAAACAAAACAGGCTTGCAATGCGAATGATGGGGTGTAGGAGAAAAGTTACAGGTGAAGAGAACAATAGTACTGTGTCCTCTAAAAAAAAGCGTAGTGTGGATATATATTGGATTAGAGAATATAAATGTTACGATTTGAATAACTGGATAATGATGATTCCATTTTCTTTTTAGTTTGGAGTGCTAGAATGACTTTTACGTGCTTGTGGGTTATCCATTAGACCCAAAAGGTTTGAGATGTGTTTGTGTGCATATAGATAGCTGTTGGAGCCATGGGAGTGGATAAGATAACCTAGAGAGAAGAATACTTGCATTTGAGGGATGTGTTGAGGGAAGAAAGCTGAAGAGACTACACTGAGAAGGGACAAAAATAGGAAAAGAAGAAAACCGGCAGAGTGTCTAGCAATCTTGTCAATGTGTTAAAAGTAACAGAAAAATAATAGTAATAATAAAGCAACAGAAGCAGGAGAGGTTGGTGTGCACCTGTAATCATAGCAATTTGGGAGTCTGAGCAGGAGGATCACAAGTTGAAGACCACAGCCTCAGCAACTTAGACCCTGTGTCTAAATAAATAAAAAGGGCTAGGGTACAGCTCAGTAAGAGAGCACCCCTGAGTTAAATCTCCAGTGCCACCACTGAAAAAGAAAAAAGTCAGGTAGACTAAAATGTGTTCATTGAATTATGCAACAAGGTTATTTAATAAATTAGGAGAAAGCTATTTTATAGATATGTGGGGTAGAGACAAGATTGAACTGGGAAGACACAGTGTATACACACAGTTTTTCATGATACTGTGAAAAGGAGGGTAGCTGTAGGATGTTGCCGGAAGAATAATTCCAAAAACAAAGGACTTTTAGGTAACTGTGAGACAGTTAGATGGAAATGTCCTAAGAGCAGTTGAATATATAGATTTAAAACTTAGGAGAGGGCTGGGGTTGTGGCTCAGAAGTAGAGCACTAGCCTACTATGCATGAGGCTATGGGTTCAATCTTCAGCACCACATAAAAATAAAATAAAATAAATTGGAGTGGCAACCTCTATTGGTACTACTCTAGGGGAAAAAAAAAAAAAACTTAGGAGAAGAATATGCCATGAAGGGGTGAGAGGGATTACAAAATTCATCATTGGGTAGGAGATATAACTCAGTGATAAAGTATTTGCCTAGCATGCATAGGAAGAAAAAATTAACTGGAGAGTGGGCCTGGGAGAAAAGAATTATACTTTTGGTTCTATCTATCTATTTATTTATTTATGTGGTAATAGGAATTGAACCCAGGGGCACTCCTCCCTACTGAGCTGCATCCCCAGCCCTTTTTATTTTTTATTTTGAGTTTTGTTAAGATTCCCAGGCTGTCCTCAAACTAGTGATCCTTCTACCTCAGCCTTCCCACTAGCTGAAATTACTGGTGTAAATTCCACCATACCTTGCTGTGCTTTTCATTTTAGGTCCATGTTTACCATTTGAATTTGTTTTGCTCTGTACGTATATTATTTTTTATTAAAAAAATTACTTTTCAAAACTCCTCTGACATAATCAGAAATTTAGAAGCATCAACATTTTAGTGGTAGTTGAAGCCATAGATTTGGATAAGCTTCCCAGAGAACAGGGGAAGGCTAAGAGGAGTGTCCTGAGGAATTCCAACACTTAAGGCACAAGTAGAAAAACTCTTGGAGAATCTTTGAAAAGGAACAGTGAAACCATGCATGGTGGCACGTACCTGTAATCCCAGCAACTTAGGAAACTGAGGAAGGAGGATCACAAATTTTGAGGCCAGCCTTAGCAGTTTATTGAGACTGTCTCAAAATAAAAGGGCTGAGGATGTGGCTCAGTGGTAGAATGTCCCCTATGTTCCATCTCTAGTACTGGAGGGTGGGGGGGGAGACGGGATAAAGGATAAAAAAGAAAGAAAAAGCAAATAAGGGAAAACAAAAACTGGGAGTAGAAACTGTCAAGTGTCATGACCCCCAAAAGAGGCAGTTATGCATGGTATGCATAACATACCTATGCATTTCATGGTATGCATAGGTATGACGGGGTGACCAGCACCCCAACAGAGCAGGTTCCTGCCCAGTGTGAGCCACAGGGGAAATAAAAAGTCTGGAATAATTAGTAAGAAATAATATAAAGCCGTGGCTGAGGCTGTAGCTCTGTGGTGGAGCACTTGCCTCGTGTTGTGAGGCACTGGGTTCGATCCTTAGCACCACATAAAAATAAATAAATAAAGATATTTTTTTAAAAAAGACAAAGATTAGATTTAAAAAGTGGAGCACCTGATGGGTCTTCCAGTCCTGATAGGAACTGGGACTGAAGAACTGAAAAAGGGCTCCTGATTCTTTATTTAAGAAGGAGTACATCAAAGGCAGGGATAAGGTTTCAGTGGGAGGAGTCTTGTTTTGGCACTTGCTCCTGGGGTGTGTGGCAGGGATCTTGTGATAAACGGGTTGATTGGCATCTGGCAAGTTACATCTATCTTCAGGAGGCAAAAGGGATCTGAAGGAGCTTCTTCACAAAAAAACAGGATAGGGGTGAGGACAAGCAGGCTGTGCTTGAACTTGAGCAGTGAACTAGAACTGGGCGCCAACGTGTATGAGCATTCTCACATCAGGGGGTTCAGCCTGGGAGTTCCCAAGACCAAGCTTCCTTGCCTAATAGCTCGAACATCACTCAGTGCACCCACGGTTCATACATGGCTTCCCACAAATAGGGAAGGAGTTTTTAGCTCCCAACACAGGTTTCTTGAAGATCATCACAAGAGTCAACTCCAGACCTTAAAACTCCCCAAGAGCCATTGGGCAATCCAGCCTCCTTGCTATTCCACCTTATCCTTCATGTCTGCCAGTTCCAATCTTGCAGTGGATTTTCAAATTGACACCAGCTGGGTCTGATGCCATAGTTCTTACCACAAGGCCAGCCTAGCAATTTAGCAAGACCCTAAATTTTTTTAAAAGGATGTAGCTCAGTAATAAAGCGCCCCTGGGTTCAATCCCAAGTACCACAAAAAGAAAGAAATGGTGAAGAACTTGAAAACAGGAGTATAAGTTGAAGTTAAGAAGGCCAAGAACTAACCACATATTTAATGGGTTTTCCCCAAAACCACCCAGGATGATCATAAATGTTGTACTACTCTAGGGGGGAAAAAAAAAAAACTTAAGAGAAGAATATGCCATGAAGGGGTGAGAGGGATTACAAAATTCATCATTGGGTAGGTGCCAATGTCCTTAGGAGGACGGCTGAAGGAAAGTAAAGCCAGATAGCACACATTTCAAAAAAAGAAGATTTTCTGCAAAAGGATGGAAACACAATAGCCTAAAAGTAT